GAGCTGAGGTACAGATCAGACATGTAGAATGGCGGAACAGGTTTGCGGGCTGAATGGCCTCCTCCTGTTCCTATTAGAATATAAATGCCGACTAAGAAGAAAAACTCTACGACAGGTGAAGCAGGGAGGGAGAGAAGATGGGGTGAAGGGTGGGAACAGTGGTGATGGAGGAACATTCAGAATCAAGAGTACCAATGCAGAACTTCCCTCCAAGAAATAGAGCAGGTAAGTTGGAACCGGCAACAGGATAGGTTTTGTGTGGACAGTGGAGGAGTGTGCATTGTGAGCCATGTTTTATGTCCACCATTTGTGAGGCAAACTGTCTGACCATCAAGACTGGACCAGGGATAAACTGGTACTAGGGAGAACCTTTCATCCCAAAATAGAACGCGCACAAAGCTACGGGCCTCTGAGATGGTTTGTAGAATGCTTTCCCCAGCAGCGGCAAATAGAAGATAAACGGCCCTGAAGTTGACACGTCAGTTGGAAGTTTCCAAACTGTCACCAACAATAAAGGGGGCGCTCAGAAGACATTTTACGACCTTCAACGGGAAAAAGGTTTGAGGGTGTAAATGTGAGTGAGCTCTTGCAGACGGTAATAAAAGCCAGCCCATCAATATGCACACACACACACCGACCAACCTCCACATCAACACCAGACGCTCCACTATTCAGGATGCCTTTAACACTCGTTCATCAATGATCTCCTCAGACGCCACTCTAACTTCCTGCTGCTGTAGAGAAAGAGCACAAATAAGGTTCTTTCAGTCCAGCGGGACATTTCTAACTTGCAACAATAGCCCATTTGTTCACAAGGATGCGTCAAGAGTAATAAGGATCAGTCGGTCCAGCAATATAGTACCAAAGAGACCCTTGGCTAGGCCTTCAGCAAAGGTGCAATGGTAATAAGTAGCCCTTGCAAAATGAGTCTGCGTGTTATCAATGCAAAGCAACGAGCATTGCATAAAACTGTCCAGTCCCTTCAGTTGCTCTCACTCCTACGCTCAACAGTATCCACCCAAAAAGTATAATAATAATCCTTGCATTTGATCGGACTCAAGACTGTGAGACACAGAGGCGTGTGTGTTGGGGGGAGGGTACGTGTACGGCTGAAGGCAGAAAGACCGAGGTGCATTCTTGCGCCTTATCACGTCTTCAAGACGACTCAAAGCACTTCACAGGATATACTGTAAAGTGAACTGACTGTATATTTTGTGGGCGAAAGGCAGCAGCCGATTGCGCACAGCAATATCCCACACACCGTCGTGGATTGAGGTGACCAATTTATTCTGATTGTTTTTTGGGAGGAATTATTACCCCCGAAAAAGCGATGCGTCAATCGACTAACAACCGGGTTCCTACTTACTGCTGGGTAAACAGAGGCGTGTGGAAACAGAGATAAACAGTATGCTGCAGAAAGATACTGATTAGGGGCTTACACAACTATGCTGCCATACACTGTGCTCAACAAGGGCCTGCAATTCAACTGGGTTTGGTTCTCAAGTTGAATAAATTCCTAGCGACTGGCGTACGTACGTCAGTAATGCTCCACCAGTGAAGCTGATCAGGAAGGTAGACAAGAGAGGAATGACAAGATGACGAACAGACAGCGAGCCGAAGACAGGTGACGGTTGGAATACTAACGAGAGCAGAATACAGAATCGAGCTGTCTGCCTGCCGAAGCTCTCCCTATTAGTTTCAGCACTCGGTCTTTCTGCCTTCAGCCGCACACGTACCCTCCCCCCAACACACACGCCTCTGTGTCTCACAGTCTTGAGTCCGAGATTCTGTAACAGGCATAAGTGACGGACTGCGAAGATTATCTGCGGGAGACAAAAGGCTCCTGCAATGACTTGTTCCAAAACACGTAGCCGGTTAAGGGGTTTGAGAGGTCCCAAGAATTGGGAATGCAATTACACATCGCGTTCACCAACCGTGGACAGATTTGCACGGATTACCTTTTATTTGTACCCGATTCGAAAGTCAATCTACAACAATTCGCACTGACAAAGTGCCTTTCACACGCAAACGTCCAACATGCACTTCACAAAAATGCGATCGATAAAAAAAAAAATGTGCGTTTCGCCCACAATCAATTCACTCTACAGTATATTCTGTGAAGGGCTTTGAGATGACTCGACGACCTGATAAAGCGATAGATCAAGTGCAAAGATTACTATTAAGTGAATATTCTTTTGTAGCCAAACGCAGCAGAAATGTCCCATAAAATACAAGCGAGGAGAAGCCAATCCCATTTATATTTGGGATGAGAAGCAGAATGCATGCCATTTGTTTGAATACCGTATTCCATAACAAACATGGTACACAGATTAGTTGAACGCTCATGGAATCATCCTCACAATATCTGGAGGAGGTTATTGACCACACTCAGAATAACCAATCACAAAATTAAATCCTAACCTCAGCTTCTCCGTCTGCTCAGCAAACACAGACCCCCCCTACTCCCCCACCAGACCCCCACTCAATCCCATTCAACATAGGTAGGTGAGGTTCCAACCATTCCATCGTCCCTCCGCCTTGCCCCCTCCATCCCCACTTTCACAACTGACCGTATTTTCTCCACCCTTTCAGTCACCTTACTACAACAACAGCAACTTGCATTTACAAACAAGGTAGCGTCCCAGAGCGCTTGACAGTGGCGGAGCACAATGCCGAGCCAGGGGGAAGGGGATGTGACCGTAGGTATGGTCGAAGAGGGAGGTTTTGAGGCGCGACCTGAAGATGGGGAAGGAAAGGGCAAGGCGGAGGGATAGAGGAAGAGTGTTTCAAGAGTTTCGGTGGAACCAACGGTGGAACGGAGGGCACATGCAGAAGGCCGGAGCCAGTCGAGCGTAGGCAACGGGTTGTGGGTCGGGAGGGGACTTATTATCCTGATTACGTCCTTCCCATGCGCAGGCTCCCAGATGGCAGCGTGAAATACTTCTGGACATCTTCCCGATATGAAATGTAAATTGTTATTGCTGAGGAAAGAAATGCAGGCGTTTAAAGATAAGAGGGCTACACAAATCCAGTCTATCATTAGAATAAATGCGAGTAAGAAGAAGAAGAAGAATGGAGAGGCAGCTGTTTGGTATGATAGGTGATGCTTATCCAGCCTATATTTAATTACCACACACCTTCCTACCTACACGGCTTTACACTAAATCCTCACAGGATTTACTGTAAAGTGGAGTGACTGTGTAACTTGTACCTGCCAGGTAGGTAGGAACTTGTGTTCCTGGGGGGGGGGGACTTCTGAGACGTCCTGCAGACACGAAAGGCATTGCATCAAAAAGCAAGAATTATAACCTAACTTATCCACACAGAGAGAGAGAGAGCCCAAGAGATCCGATTGAAACTTCTGGAGTTGAAATCACATATCCCGTTTCACCCACAAAATCTACAGTTTAATTCAGTATATTCTGTGAAGCGCTTTGAGTCGTCTCGAAGACGTGATAAGGCGCCGTATCGAATGCAAGGATTATTATTGTACCAGATGTTCCACCAGACACCGCAAACACAAGGGATTTGCTCAATATCCCACATTCACTGCGATTCAATTTCGGCATGCAGGACATTTGTCCACGCGTGTTTGTATGTGGGTGTGTGTGTGTGTGTGTGTGTATACGCGCACGTACGGACATGAAATCATTCGAAACGCAGATGCTCAGCAAACTACCTCAGGGGGGAAAATTGAGGCGTGTGATGTGTTAATTAGCACCACTGAGAAAAGCAACTAGTCAAGAATGATGGCACGAGGCAGTTTAAGTGGGTGCGATGGCCTCATCCGCCACAGCATTCATAATACCGGATCCACCAAGCCAACACTACTTGCGTCGACCGCAGGCAGCCAAGTGCTCGCAACTCTCTCTCCTCTGCAAGCTATCAAGCTTGACCCATCATCTCTGGGAAGTCGAGTCAAGTGGACCGTGCCTTCGGCCTCCCGCCTCGCCCTCCACCCCTCCTGGTACCAACCCCCAGCTCGGGTGCGGATCTCTGACGATCCAGTGCCTTGCGACGTCCTCCTGATGTGAAGGGCGCGATACAAACGCTTGTTGATGTTGTCGTCATCCATCTTCCATCGATAGTGGCTCAGCCTTGTCAGAGGCTCGCCCACCCACCCTTCCACCCTCCCTCTTGGCCAGTAACACAGACTAGCACGGGAGAAGAAAAAGAAAAACAAATCTATTTCACCCTTAAAAATACAGCAACCTCCCTTCATATGCCTTTGGGCCACCTAATGAATTGTGTAATATCTTGTGCTTCATTACCCAATTACCCACATTAGTATCTATAGTTCTCTGGTTGTTTATTTACCCTGCTATCCTCCACGGTCTTGCTCCCCCACCTACCTCCTAACCCCATATCAGCCTGTCCGCTCTCTTTGTTAGGCGGACACCAGCATGCTTCAGTCCCACCATTGGCGGTCCCACCATTGGCGGTCGGGCCAACAGCATCTTTGCTCTGCACAGTCTGGACCTCTATCCCACAATCACACCCTCTCTTGCCTCCTTCAAGCCCCATCTAAAGCGCTTCCTCGTCGACCGTGCCTTCGACCATCCTCCCGACCACCCCTCCCCTCCACCCCTCCTGACCCCAACTCCCAGCTTAGGTGCAAAAAACTGACTCTCCAGCATTACACAAGTATAATTTGTTGTTGCTCTGAGCTCAACATCAAGGCATCAGAATGAAGCAGATAGATATTTGTTAGGTCAGGGTATCAAGGGACACAGGGGCAAGGGAGGGTAATTGGACTTGAGCTACAGATCAGCCATGATCTCATAGCATGACGGAACAGGCTCGAGGGGCTGAATGGCCTCATCCCGTTCCTATGCTTCTGTACATCATGTTTTGTATCTTTCTAATGCTGCACTCTAATCACTCAAATTCTTACACCACAAACTGCTAGTTAGACAAGCAAAATAACATGACCTGATTCATGTTATTTATGGAATGAAATTAGACAGATGCAATTAAAGCTTTCAACAACTGTCACAAGAATGCCGAGAATCTTAGTTGGAAGAGAGCAAAGCAACCTGAAAGTCATCGGCTCGACTTCCGGTCTGTGCTGAGTTAGTGGATTTCAGTAAGGGCGACACCAACTTGCATTTCACCCAATACACAGTCACCACACGTTGCAGTATGTTCTGTGAAGTGCTTTGAGACATCTTGAAGACATGATAAGGCGCTATATCAAATGCAAGGATTATTATTATTATTATTATAATAACATGCCTTACAAGAACAGGTTCAGACTCCAAGATGTATCAGCCAGGAACAGCTAGGAACTACCCTACTTGTTAGGGCCTTGGCTTGCAGGGTCAATAGGAGCTGAGTGGGAGGATTGACTTGAACCTACAACTTTCAGACTCGAGAGAGGGTGCTATCAACTGAGTTAAGCTGACACACACACACACACACCACACACACATCACTTTTCCTGTGCTAGATGAATAATATATATAGCATTGATACCCAAAGTGTGGTGTCACAGCAGCACTGCACAGCAACGGTGTGAAAAAGAATTAAAAGTAGAGTTGTAGAGTTGGAAGCCGAGGTGCAGACACTGCGCTCCATCAGGGACAGTGAGAGGTTCCTCCCCCCCCCCCACACACACACACACACCACTCCCTCCCCACACTCCCTCCCCCCTGAGCCTGAGACACGTCACTCAAACGCGAACACATCACGCACACGCACACTTACACACAGGCGTGTGGGGACGCCGCTGTGCGCAATTGGCTGCTGCCTTCCGCCCACAAATACACAGTCACTCCACTTGACAGTGCATCCTGCGAAGGGCTTTGAGACGTCTCGCAGATGTGATAAGGCGCTGGATCGAATGCCAGGGTTATTATTATTATTATTATTATTATTCTCTCTCCCTCAGCTGGCACCCCTGACACTGATGTGCCCTCCCAAGACCCTCTGGGACTCTCGAAGCTCGGGGGTCCTGTGGACAAAGATCGACGGAATAAGAAAAAGTATGTTCTTGTTTTCTCTGTCGCGTTCTCTGTCAGTTTCCCTTACGCTCCTCCCACACACACACACGCACACGCGCGCACACACACACACACGCACACACACACACACGCGCACACACGCCTCTGTTTACCAGCAGTCAGTAGGAACTCAATTGTCAGTCGATTGGCGGATCACTTTCCGGGGGGTAATGATCCCTCCAAAAATAATAATAATAATTTGGTCACTTCAATCCACGGCTGTTCGTGGGGATGTCACTGTGCGCAATTGGCTGCAGCATTTCGCCCCCAAAGTATACAGTCACTACACTTTACCGCTTTATTCTGCGAAGCGCTTTGAGACGCGATAAGGCGCTGTGTCGAATGCAAGGAGCGTTGTTATTACTTATTATTATGACGATGATGATTGTTATTTTTATTATTATCTATTAGTAGTAGTTATTATTAGTGATTATTATTGTCGTCGCTGTGCCTGTTTGGGGGGTGACTTCACGTTACAGACACGAGCTGCTGGAGGAGGCTTGTCGCCAGGGGTTGCCGTTTGCAGCTTGGGATGGTCCCACCGTGGTGGCGTGGCTGGAGGTGAGTGACGTTACGGACGGGTGGTTTAAGGGCATCGGGTGGGGGGGTGTGGGGTGGGGAAGAGGGTACAGTGGGGGTGCAGGTGGGTGAAGCTGAGTGACGTTCGGTGGTTGGGGGAGTGCTGGTTGCCCGGTTGTGACGGTGATGGAGTTGGCAGTTGAGGTTTACGCCCACAAAGCTTTACTGTGTGTCCTGCAAAGCGCTTTGAGACGTCTCAACGACGTGATAAGTCGCTGTGTCAAATGAAAGGATTATTACCGTTAAATGGCTTCCGGTCGCCTCTTTCACTCTCTCCCAGTCGCTCTCTCTCTCTCTCCCTCTCTCTCTCTCTCTCTCATTCTCTCTCTGTCTGTCTCTCCCGTTCTGTCTCTCTCGCCAGCTGTGGGTGGGGATGCCAGCCTGGTATGTGGCTGCCTGTCGCGCCAACGTGAAGAGCGGTGCCATCATGTCAGCGCTGTCGGACACGGAGATCCAACGGGAGATCGGAATCAGCAACCCCTTACACCGTCTGAAATTACGGCTAGCCATCCAGGAGATGGTCTCTCTCACCAGCCCCTCTGCGCCCACAATATCCCGAATGGTACGCACTCACCCCGAGCACGTCAGACTGACACGCGCACACACACACACAACACACATGCACTCACTCACTCACTCACTCACAACATAGGAGGGAATCTCTATTCCCTCGATTCAGAAGGTTGAGGGGTGAGAGAGATATTTCTTATTAAGGGATATGGGGCAACGGAGGGTAAATGGATTTGAGGTACAGATCAGCCATGATCCCCTAGAATGGGGGAACAGGCTCAAGGGGCTGAATAGGCTCCTCCTGTTTCTATGTCTATGTATCCAGCAACAGGAGGCCATTCAAGGGGGGGAACCAACTATACTGTACTCAAGTCTAAGCGTCACATTGATTCAGCTTTGGGGCCTTCTGGCTCAGTGTGGTGGATATTTGTGGAGTCCTGTCGTGTAGTGGTTAGACCCCTCGCCTCGCAAGCGAGAGGAACTGGGTTCGACTCCCGGGCTGGTCGGGGCGAAACCTAAGGCAAGTTTCTTTACTGCACACAGACACAAGTCACACACGCCTCTGTTTACGCAGCAGTAAGTAGGAACCCGGTTGTTAGTCGATTGGCGGATCGCTTTCCGGGGTATAATTATCCTCTCAAAAAAGAAATAATAATAACGTGGTCACTTCACTTCAATCCACGACTCGTGCGCAATTGGTTGCCGCGTTTCGCCCACAAAACGCACAGTCACAGCACTTAACAGACCCGAGCTGGGGGGGGGGGGGGGAGAAGGGAGGGGAAGGGGGGTGGCCGATGGTCGAAGAAGAGGGTCTTGAGGTGGGACTTGAAGGAGGCTAAGGTGGGGTGAGGCGGAGTGACTGGGGGATGGAATTCCAGAGGTTGGGGGCAGAGTGGCTGAAGGCTCTCCCGCCAATGGTGGGGCGGGTGGGTCGGGGGACGTGGAGCAGCCGGAGCGGCTGAGCGGGGGCGACGGGCGGGTTGGTAGGGGGTTAGGAGGTCGCAGGGGTAGGGTGGGGCGAGGCCATGGAGGGCTTTGTAGGTGAGGACCAGGATCTTGAACTGGATCCTCTGAAGGACAGGGAGACAGTGGAGTCGGGCGAGAATATCGAATGCAACAATTATTATTATAATAATTATTATGGGCGGATGTTGGTCGCTGAGAGACTGATTGTTTCTTTGGGTGGCGGCAATTTTATTCCCTTTTGCGTGTTTGTCCTGATCGTGCAGAACACTGGCAACGTCTGGGTCACCCACGAGGAGATGGAGACCATGGCAGCCTCGACCAAAATGGTAAGTGTTGTCCTGTGGCTCAGCGGTGAGAGCCCTCGCCTCGCAAGCGAGAGGACCCGGGTTCGAGTCCCGGGCGGGTCAGGGAGAAACGTTGGGCAAGTTTCCTTACTCCACACACACACACCCACACACACACCCACACACACACACACACACACACACCCACACACCCACACACACGCCTCTGTTTATCGGCAGTCAGTAGGAACCCGGTCGTGAGTCGATTGGCCGATCGCTTTTCCGGGGATAATAACCCCTTCAAAAAAAGATAATAATAATAAATTGGTCACTTCAATCCACCACTGTTTGTGTGGACGTTGTTGGGTGCAATTGGCCGCCGCGCTTCGCCCACAGAGTAATGATGATGTTGATGATGATAATAATAATAATCCTCGCGTGTGATATAGCGCTTTTCACGTTACAATAATGAAAATATGAATTGTTAAAATATCAATGATTAAAACATTAATGATTAACTTAAAGTAATTAATTACAATAATTAAAACGCACAGTTAATTCACTTTATAGCGTATCCTGTGAAGCGCTTCGAGACGTCTCGAAGGTGTGATGAGGCGCTGAATGAAATGCAATTATTATTATTATCATCGCCCCCCCCACCCCCCCCCATCCACACCCCTGGGTTCCTGTCTCGAGATTCGTGGACTGTATCACGGAAGGTGATTGTAACCCAAAACGTTCTGTAAGCCCCATTTTTAGACTCTCGCCCCCAGTTCCCTCCTCCCTACACCCACCAACCACTCCCTTGGATGCAGAAGGCTCTACATTGGCCAGGACTTGATCTAATAGAATGGCGGAACAGGCTTGAGGGGCTGAATGGCCTCCTCCTGTTCTTGTGTTCCTAGACTTGATAAGGCCCAGTTACTAATTCTCTCTCTCTCTCTCTCTCTCTCTCTCTCTGTCCGTCTGCCTGTGGTAGTGAGATTCTACATTAAACACAAGTCTTTTTTGTTCTCTATTTGTTTCCAGATCATCGCTCCCACATTTTTCGTTTGAGGCATTAATTTAGGTCCCGTCTGCCTTGCAAATCAGGTGCATGTGAAAGGGATTCCTTAAACCCCCACTTAACCTCCCTCTCCCCCCCACCCCCCAACCCCCCAACCCCCACCAACGCCAACGCTGATTCTCCCAGTTACCTTAGCCTATAATTCCTGATCCTCATCTAAATTCCAACCCACCCCCCCACCCTAACGCCGCCCCTCTTGTCTCGGTATTGTGGAGTGTGGTAACTCAGCAGTTCGAGCGCTCGAGAGGACCCGGGTTCGATTCCCGGGCCGGACGAAACTTTGGGCAAGTTTCCTTACTCCCTCCCCCCCCCCCCACACACACACACACACACACGCCTGTGTTTACCAGCAGTAAGTAGGAACCTGGTTGTTAGTCCATTGGCGGATGGCTTTTCCGAGGGGTAATAATCCCTCCAAGAAAGAATATAATTTGATCACTCAATCCACGGCTGTTTGTGGGGACGCTGCTGTGTGCTCCCGCGTTTCGCCCACAAAGTACACCGTCACTCCACTTCACAGTATAGTTTGTGAAGCGCTTTGAGACGTCTCGATGACGTGATAAGGCGCCGTATCAAATGCCGGAATCAATTATTAATTATTATTGTGATTTATTGTCGGCTCAGCGCTACAGTGAGTAAACGGCAGCCCCTGTTGTACCTGTGTCATTCCAGTCTCGCTGTTGCTTTGTGACCATTTCCTTAAACAACAAAAAAAAAAACCTGGAACACTCCCTCTATCCCTCTCCGCTTTGCCCCCTTCCTCCCCCATCAACCCCGGGTCACCTCTCACCCTCCCCTCTGCTCCGTCACTGCCAGGGGCTCTGGGACGCCAACCCGCGTGAGGGGTGCTGTGTAAATGCAAGTCGTCGTCGTTGTTCCCTTTTCGTCTGATCGTTGCTAAAGCTCTAACCTTTTATGAACCCTGTTAGCGATGATGTACTCGTGCTGTGCCACCCAGCCAGTAGCTTTGCCCTCGGATTAAGTCGGGCCCACGGGCGGGGTGGGGTGGTGTGTGTGCGTGGGTGTGTGGGTGGATGTGTACCTCATCAAAACCTATGCACGACATTGTCTGATAGAGGTAGAAAACCTGTTAATCCTGTATTTTAGTGCCTGGGTTTGATTCCCGGGCAGGTTGGGCAAAGCCGTAGGCAAATTTCCTTACTCCCACACACACGCCTCTGTTTACCCATCAGTGAGTTGGTAGTCGGTTTTGGCCGATCGCTTTTCCGGGGGCAATAATCCTTTTTAAAAAAAATAATAATGATAATTTGGTCACTGAATCCACTGGCTGAGAGCACGTCTGTGCGGCACTAACCTCATTAACACTAACTGTCTTCTCTTACGTCCCTTTCATTGTGTGACTAACCTCTAACCTCTGGGATGACAGGAGTCCAAGGAGATCAGCTGGGACCAGGTGGGTTCTGGATTCTCCTGCTTTGTCCTGGTTCATCCCAAATACCCCCCCCCCCCACCCCGCCGCCTCCACCCCACCCTTCCATGGAGTCGAGATGTTGATTCCTTGGGTCTGCGTTTTGGGGTCTGCGTTTTGGGTCTGCATTTGTGTGTGTGTGTTTGCGTCAGGGATCTGGCCCCGAGGTGGGGAGCGTTGGGATCAGGAAGAGTGACCGAAGGTGCGTTTGGTCGAAGAGGAGGGTCCTGAGACTTGCCTTGGAGGAGGCGAGGGAGGGGGCGAGGCGGAGGGACTGTGGGATGGAGTTCCAAAGGGTGGCGGGGGGGGGACGGGGGCAGAGAGGCTGAAGGCCAAACCGCCGGCCGACGGCGGGGGTCGTGGAGCCCACCGAGCGGACAGGTCGATAAGGGGTTAGCGGGTCGGGAGAGGCAGGTCGGAGGCACGGCCATGGAGGGCCTTGATGGGGGAATCGATGAGTTAAATGTTGTTGGTGAAGGGGTGGGTGTGAGTGTGTGTCTGTTTGTCGTGTGTGTTGGAGCCGGTTTAACAGGAATCCGGTGTGTTCGTCAGATCCTGGCGCATGGCGACATGAACCATGAATGGGTTGGGAATGACTGGCTGCCCAGCCTCGGGCTCCCTCAGTACCGCAGCTACTTCATGGAGTCCCTGGTGGACGCTCGGATGTTGGACCATTTGACCAAGAAGGAGCTGAGGGGACAACTGAAGATGGTGGACAGTTTCCATCGGTAGGTGGATGTGAGGTGCTGGCTTCCCCCTTACACTGCGTTCTACTCCCCCCCCCCCCACCCACCCACTCACCCACCCACCCACCACCGGCGCGCGCACACCCCCACTGACACCCACACACACAGACCCTTCTCACTAACACACCCACACACTCTCTCTCTGTCACACACACACAACCAGGGGCGCGGGCGGGGCTGTGTCCCAGAGGACGGGGCAGTGTCCCAGAGAGGGGGCCGGTGTCCAAACGGGTGGGGGCTCGGGGGCTGTGACTGACCCGGGCCCTGTGTGTGTGTGTGTGTGTGTGTGCTGCAGGATCAGCCTTCACTACGGGATCATGTGCCTGAAACGACTGAACTACGACAAGAAGGACCTGGAGAGCAAGAGGGAAGAGAGCATCAGCGAAGTCAAAGGTCAGTCTTGGCCCGCCAAACGCACAGTCACCACGCTTTACAGGGAAGCGCTTCGGGACGTCCCGACGACGTGATCGGGCGCTTGTGTCGGGCGCGGGGAGGAGTACCGTCACCGTTTCTTAACATTATTCCTGTGCCTCAGACGTGATGGTCTGGACCAACGAGAGGATGATGAGTTGGGTGCAGGACATCGGACTGAAGGAATTCGCCAACAACCTCCTGGAGAGTGGGGTCCACGGGTCCCTCATCGCTCTCGATGACACCTTTGACCACAACGACATCGCGCTGCTCTTGCAGATCCCGACGCAAAGCACTCAGGTACGGCAACGAGACCGAACGGCGGCCGAAAAGCCGGGTCGCTGGTGCCGTAGCTCGGGGGGTGGGGGGGGGTGGGGTGGGGCGGGGGGTCGGAGCCCTCCCTCGCAACCGAGGGCACCCGGGTTCGATTCCCGGGCGGGACGAAACGTTGGGCAAGTTTCCACACGCGCGCGCACACCCCCACCCATACACACCCCACCCACGGACACACACCCCCACACACACCCTCACGCACACACACACACCCCACACACACGCACACACACACACGCGCGCCCCCACACGCGCCCCCACACACACACGCGCACCCCCCCACACACGCACACGCACACACAAACGCACGCCTTTGTTTACCCAGCAGCTGTTAGTCGATTGACGCATCGCTTTTCCTGGGATAATGATCCCTTCCAAAAAAAATAATAATAATAATTCGGTCACTTCGATCCACGGCTGTTTGTGGGGACGCTGCCGGGCGCAATTTGCTGCCCACAAACCGTGCAGTCACTACACTTCACAATGTATTCTGTGCAGTGCTGGAGACGCCTCGACGACACATTAAGGCGCCTGTAACAAATGAGAGTCTCTCCCTCTCTCGCTCCGAACCTCCTTCTTGGATTTAAGAGAATTTAGGATCAAACTATTTCACCCGGAGGGCAGTGAGAGTGTGGAGTTCGCTGCCTGAAGCTGTGATGAGGGGAAGAGAAGGGGGAGAGAGGGGGTGAGGGAGGGGAGATTTGTGGAGTATAAACACGTCACAGACTTGTTGGGCTGTTTTCCGTGCTGTAGGGTCTGTGTAACCTTTGCCTGTGTGTGTGTCTGTCTGTGTGTGTGTGTGTCCATGTCTGTCTGTGTGTGTATCTGTGTGCATCTGTGTTTGTGTGTATCTGTGTGTGTATCTGTGTCGTGTGTGTATCTGTGTTGTGTGTGTATCTGTCGCGCGTGTGTGTATCTATGTCATGTGTGTATCTATGTCGTGTGTGTGTATCTGTGTGTGTGTGTATCTGTGTCGTGTGTGTGTATCTGTGTGGTGTGTGTGTGTGTGTGTGTGTGTGTATGTGTGTGTGTGTGTATCTGTGTGTGTGTGTTGTGTGTATCTGTGTGTGTGTGTGTGTGTGTGTGTGTGTGTATCTGTGTGTGTGTGTGTGTATCTGTGTGTGTGTGTGTGTATCTGTGTGTGTGTGTGTGTCTGTGTGTGTGTGTGTGTGTATCTGTGTGTGTGTGTGTATCTGTGTGTGTGTGTATGTGTGTGTGTGTATGTGTCTGTGTGTGTGTGTGTGTGTGTGTGTGTGTGTGTGTGTCTGTGTGTGTGTGTGTGTATCTGTGTGTGTGTGTATCTGTGTGTGTGTGTATGTGTGTGTGTGTATGTGTCTGTGTGTGTGTGTATGTGTGTATCTGTGTGTGTGTTGTATCTGTGTGTGTGTGTGTGTGTATCTGTGTGTGTGTGTGTGTGTGTTGTATCTGTGTGTGTGTGTGTGTGTGTGTGTGTGTGAGACAGGCTCGTCAGATATTGGAGACGGAGTTCAACAGTCTGCTGCTGCTCGGCACTGATCGACGACAGGAGGAGGTGAGTTCATCAGGAAAGTGTGTGTGTGTTTGAGGGAGAGTGTCAGAGTGTGTTTGGGGGGTTGGTTGTTGTGTGTGATAGGGACGGGTTGTGGTTGTATGTGTGTGAGAGGTGTTTGTGTGTGTGGAAGGCGCTAATAATGTTAATTTTGGTCTGTGTGTGTGTCGGGGAGTGCGTGTGTGTGTCGGGGAGTGCGTGTGTGTGTCGGGGAGTGCGTGTGTGTGTCGGGGAGTGCGTGTGTGTGTGTCGGGGAGCGTGTGTGTGTCAGGGAGTGCGTGTGTGTGTCAGGGAGTACGTGTGTGTGTGTCGGGGAGTGCGTGTGTGTGTCGGGGAGTACGTGTGTGTGTGTCGGGGAGTGCGTGTGTGTGTCGGGGAGTGCGTGTGTGTGTCGGGGAGTGTGGGTGTGTGTCGGGGAGTGCGTTGTGGTGTCGGGGAGTGTGGGTGTGTGTCGGGGAGTGCGTGTGTGTGTCGGGGAGTACGTGTGTGTGTGTCGGGGAGTACGTGTGTGTGTGTCGGGGAGCGTGGGTGTGTGTCGGGGAGTGCGTGTGTGTGTGTTGGGGAGCGTGTGTGTGTGTTTTGGGGAATGTGCGCGGGTGTTGGGGAGTGTGTGTGGGAATCGGGGGAAGATTTCCATCGCTGTATAAAGAGCTGTGTTGATGCTGTGGAGACATAACGCCTCTCAATATTGCTCCCACACCTCCTCATTCCCCCACCCTACCCCCTACCCCCCCCCGCGCCCTCCACCCACCCCTACCCCCTCCCCCACCCTCGCCCCACCCCCGGACAGGACGACGCCAAGAACTTCAGCCGCGCCCCCTCGTGGCGCAACGATTCCGAGCGAAGGAGATAGGGACATGACGTCGGACACATCAGAGACACTGCCGGCGAACTTCCGGGTCACGCCAGCCATCATCGCCTCCCGAGCCTGCAGCTCCGCAAGGTGCAGCCGGACAGTAAGTCTAACCCTACCCACCCTCCCCGCCCCCGAGGACATGCGTGTGCGTGCTGCGTGCGTGTGTGTCGGCCGCTCACGTGTGCCCCGTGTGTTTGACAGGCAACTCGCGCCGCGAGCCAACGAGGAGAGGCAACCTCCGTCCGCACTTACTCCTGTTAGTCACACCTCGTGAGTGAGTGTACAGACTCTTTACACAACCCCCCCACACACACACACACCCCTCCTCTATATACACCCCCTCACAAATACCCCTCCTGTACATAATCCCAACACAACACCAACAAACACCTCTCCGACAATACAACCACAACCCCCTCCCCCCCCCGCCCCCTCACTGTTGCCGTTGTCTCCCCAGGTGAAGGTCGGGTGTGAGCGACTCTCACTCTGCGTAGGAGGGAACGAGAAGCCAATACAACCTGACACGACTGTTAACAGACGCCCGGCCTGTCCTGTCCCTGATCCTGTCCGACGGCAGCTGACACAGCGGCTGAAGTGGACGCCAAGCCACACACACACCCTCACGCACACACACACCCACACACACACCCTCACGCACACCCTCACTCACACCCTCACGCACACACCCTCACGCACACACCCTCACGCACACACCCTCACGCACACACCCTCACGCACACACCCTCACGCACACACCCTCACGCACACACCCTCACGCACACACCCTCACGCACACACCCTCACCACACACCACACACTGACTGCCCTGTGTCTCTTCCCCCGGGGAGCAAGACCGCAGAACAGACAGACAGACAGACAGACGGCTGGGTGGACAGACAACACAGACACCCCTGACTGTTAGCTGTGGGACACAGGAGCCTGAGCACTGCCACGTGTTGGAGTCCCAGCGATCGATTGTAAATAACGGTGAAAACACACACAGTTCCCTCACTCTGAGGCTAACGACAGACTCCATCCGTCTGATCAACGCGGTTCCTATCAGTCTCTCTCTCTGCCAATCACTGAATCGTTGGCGTAAAATATTCTGTTTTTTTGTCCTGCAGAACGTTTGTTTGTTGCTTGTCTGAATTCTGCACTTTTCTCCCCCGCGCTCCCCCTCTGCCTCTCCCCACTCCTCCCTCTCCCCGCCCTCCGCAACCCCCACCACCCCCCCCAACACGCGCAGTGTAGAGGGAGCTTTACTGTGTCCCCGACCCGTGCTGTCACTGACCATCGTTGCGAGGAGACGGACATACAGACGAGGTCGATGAGAGTCGCTGTGTCCCCTCTGCGTTGTCGGGGAAGCACTGTGTTTCGTTATCCTGCTCGGAGGGAACGGGTAATTGAGCGCGCGCGCGCGTGTGCGTGTGTCTGTATGCGTGCGCGCGTGTGTGTGCGCGCGTGCAAGCATGTACATGTGTGTGCCTACGTATTCGCGTGTGTGTGTGTGTGTGTGTGTGTGTGTGAACGGGGGCAAGCGTGCGTGCGTGCCCGCACCTGTGTGTGTAAGCGTGTGTCTTGTGCTGGTGGGCTGAGAGGTGTCAGTCAGTCTCCGAGATGAGACGTGAAACAGAGTCTCGGGGGCGGAGGGGCGAAGCGCGGTGGGGTGGGGGGGTGGGAGAATCTCCCCAGATTCCCTAAACCTTGAGGGTTGGGGAGGGTGTGGGCAGCGTTTGCACGTCCTGAAGGTTCGAACCTCCTTCCCTCACTCGGAAGTGTCTGGGTGGGTGGGTGGTGGGTCGGAGATATCTGTACAACAAGTGACCACATTCCCCGGGGAGAGGAGAGGAGGAGGTGTGGGGGGAGAGAGAGGGGGGGTGTGGGTGGGTGTGTGTGGGTGTGTGGGTGGGTGTGTGGGTGGGTGTGTGGGTGGGAAGCCCTTATCTGTAAATCTGGTCCGTGGCTGAGCTCCCAACACTGTAAATTATGCTTTGCTGTTTGTCATGAACAGGACTTGGAGATGTTTTTTGTAAGTGGATGATATTGTGTCTCTCTCTCTCTCTCTGCTGCTGTCCGCCATTATTACTCCTCTCCCTTTCGTTATATTTTCTTCTTCCTTTTTAACTCCCGAACCAGGACGGGAGGAGAGGCGCGAGCTTCTTCTCTTCTTCTCTCCTCTTTCTCTCCCTCTCTCTCACTCTCTCTCTCTATCTCAGTTTCTCTCTCTCGCTCGCTCTCTCTCTCTCTCTCTCTTTATATTTATTTTTGCGATTGCCGGTTTTGCGGTCAGTTTGCAGATTGTATTTA